TGCTCCACCCACGCTTCGGAAAGCTCAGCAGCAAAGATGTTCAAGGCTCACGATAAAGTTAATCTAAACCCTAAACCCTAAACCCTAAACCCTAAACCCTAAACCCTAAACCCTAAATCCTCTTAAACCCCGGCCCTTTATACAAACCCTAAAAGGCTCATAGACTCCAATATATTAGAACTCCTAAGTCCTAAGCCGCGGCCCCGAAACTACTAGGAACCCTGAGCCACTTAAGCCGCGTTCACCTCAGCCCTACTAAACCCTAAACCCCAACCCTAAACCCTAAACCCTGAACCTGAATCCCCAAATTTAAGAACTTTCGGCTCGGGAGGCTCAAACCAGGGGCCCTTCAAGCTCAGCCCAGCACAAAGCCCAAGTGAGGACTGGGGGGGGTTTCTTCCTAGGAGTTTTGTTGACTGAGACCCTATCAACCCTAAACCCTAAACCCTAAACCCTAAACCCTAAACCCTAAACCCTAAACCCTAAACCCTAAACCCTAAACCCTAAACCCTAAACCCTAAACCCTAAACCCTAAACCCTAAACCCTAAACCCTAAACCCTAGGCTGGTTACCCGCGGGCTTTGGTAGGTCGCTCGCCCTTGGAGCGGGCTTTGTCGGAGCTACGCTCGAGAGGTGTTCCCCGGCAAGGGCCCGGAGGCCGTATCTTGGCTTTCTTGTGCCTTGCTCCTAATCCGAGCACCTGTTTAGGGGGGGGGGGGGGACCCCGCCACCACAATAAGAAAGGCAGGGTTCCGCAATGGTAAGACCATGGCCCTGTATTGATTCTCTACTAAAAACAATAGGCCGCAGATCCCTGAGGTGCGGTAGCTTCGCAGCTCAGCAAGCAAAACAAGAAGCCTGCCGACAGATTTGGGAACCCCCCCGAAAACATTTTCTGTAAATGTGGTGGTATTGGCCCATACGATCCGCCGTAATGGAAAGTAGTCTTCCGGCGGGCTTCTCGGCGAAAAAGTTTTTTAAATGTGGGGGTGTGAATTAAACAGGTGCTCGGATTAGGACTTTAACCTTTTTGGGTCTTTGTAGAAGCTACGACAAGGGGCCTAAAAGTTAAACCTGTAGGAGGGGTTCACAAGTCAGCCAAGCTTTTTTACGGCATTAAAGAGGTTAGGGTGTAGGGGTTTCGGGGTTCAGGGGTTTAGGGGTTTAGGGTTTAGGGTAGGGTTTCGACCCATGTACATTCCCCTGATATTCCCCCACTAGAACCCAAGGGCCCATATTTCAGAACCTCCTTAAAGAAGGTAAGGGTCCATATTAATGGACGTGGTTGCTTCTGGGGTTTGGGGTTTTAGTGTTCTGTCGGGATTGGGCTGCAGGGTTTAAGGGTTTGAAGGGACGTAGATTCAAGGGTTTTCAGCATTTTCGAGTTTTAGGGTTTTTCGAGTTCGGGGTTTGGGGTCTAGGAACGAGATCTGTTTTCTGGGGGTCTAGAGTTCTCTGTGTCAAAGTGGCTTGTCAATAGAGATGTTGGGCTGAACTTGGGCTGTTTTAATCCAAAAAGGGGCAGCCTGTTTATTCCCTGGATACTCTCGGACCTAGAGTGGCTCTTCATGCACAAAAAAGTGATACGTGACAAGCTCCTAGGTAGGGCCTTGTTGGGATGTTTCATATTCTCACTTATTGGGTTTAAGAGGATCACATCTAGGAGTATCTTTCAGGGGGTTTTAAGAGCCAACTTAGAAAGCTCGCTGACACGACAGGCTCCGCAACGCAGGCGGCAAGAGGCTCTCCGCGGCTTGGCGGTGCCACTCGGCGTGTTTGGGATCGGGACTAGGGTTGAGGGTTTAGGGTTTAGGGTTTAGGGTTTAGGGTTTAGGGTTTAGGGTTTAGGGATACCCTATAACCCGCCATTTTTCAGATAAAACTACTTTGAAAACGAAAGGGTTGGGAACTGGTATTCTACTTCCTGGGCGATGTTCCACGATGCGCCAGTAAGCTGAGAACCCCAATCCAAAGTAAGCCCACGCCCATGGAAATCTCCCTAAACCCTAAACCCTAAACCCTAAACCCTAAACCCTAAACCCTAAACCCTAAACCCTAAACCCTAAACCCTAAACCCTAAACCCTAAACCCTAAACCCTAAACCCTAAACCCTCTGCTGCGGTGTGCCAATGAAGGACGCAAGCGCCGCGCGACTTTTGGCCGTGTTGCGGCACGGCGCAACTGCACTGGAGGTGGCCGCGTCTCGTCTTTAGGGTTTAGGGTTTAGGGTTTAGGGTTTAGGGTTTCGGGTTTCGGGTTTCGGGTTTTGGGGTTTGGGGTTTGGGGTTTAGGGTTTAGGGTTTAGGGTTCGGGTCGGGCTGAGAGGTTTAGTGCACTTATATGGGTTTCTTCCCATAAAAAGGATACCCCTTTTACACCCCAAAATGAATAGACTCCCCTTAAATGGATCCCCAAAAAGGGTACCCCTATGTGCGGAAACCCCCATATATAGTCAAGAGCCATGTCTATAGGGTTTAGGGTCGGTTTAGGGTTTTAGGGTTTAGGGTTAGGGTTTAGGGTTTAGGGTTTAGGATTTAGGGTCTAGGGTTTAGGGTTTATAGGGTTTAGGGGGTCTCATCTTGGCTGACAGAGGCAGGGAAGAGAATCCACCATCGTTTCCTGTGTGTTGGTGTGCGTTCTGATATATAGACTCTGCGAAAGGAGCCACCGCGATAGGTCGTGGGGGTTTTGGACACCCAATGCTTAGCCGGGTACCTGTTTAGTTAATACCCCCAAGCCACTTCCCTTCAGGTATGGATAGTTCCCTAACCAAAACCCTAAACCCTAAACCCTAAACCCTAAACCAGGGGGTTGGGGGGGGTGCAGGCCTATGCCCTCTACGGACGGTCTTTTATAGTCACACGGTTCGATGCCAGAGCGTCCAGTTTTGTTGCCGTAGTGGAACTCGAAGCTCTGCTGGTGTCTATGTAGGTACGCTTCGAGTTGAGAACACAAGTTTTGCGGTAGTGGCAGGCTGCTGTCGTATCCTACACAGCAAGGTTGAGGCTTTTGAGACAAAGCTTTCTAAGCTCCAAAACCCAACAAACACAACCACTCAGTCTCCTAAGTCGGCAGGTGGACAACCCTAAACCCTAAACCCTAAACCCTAAACCCTAAACCCTAAACCCTAAACCCTAAACCCTAAACCCTAAACCCTAAACCCTAACGGGTCGCAGGCCTCGGGAGAGCGCGGAGAGGCTCTGCACACGGAGGCCGGCTTCGATTCTTGAGCTGACGGGTTTCATGGCTTTCGCTGCACACCTCCCCCTGCCACTGATACCCCTCACTAAGGGTAAGCAGGGTATTCTAGAAAGGTAGACATGAGGAGGGCGCAGGGTAGGGGTTTGGGGTTTAGTTTTGCCTCGGTGAAGGAGATAAAGCGCAAGAAGCCCGATTCACTAAAATCCCTCTAAAGAGCTCAGTCAGGCTCCATCGACGCCGCAACTCGGCGTGTGCTTGGGCTGCGTCATGGGTGCTAGTGCTTGGTGCCCACATAGGGGGTGTGAATTGCTTATTGGCTCTCAGTGGGGAAGCATTGAATTCGGTACCTCCTTTGATTTCGTTGCCCCCGGATATCCCCTTTTTAACCCTAAACCCTAAACCCTAACCCTAAACCCTAAACCCTGAACCCTAAACCCTGAGCGAAGCCAAGGCACCCATGGCCATCCCAAGCCACCAGCAGCGAAATCCAGGGCGTCTTCTCAGAGAGCCCACTGTCCAGGCCGGCGTTGCACTCTCAAGTTTGGGGTTTAGGGTTTAGGGTTTAGGGTTTAGGGTTTAGGGTTTAGGGTTTAGGGCTATGAAACCTGAAATGGAGGCCAGGGCTCGCGACAGACCAGAGCCAACCACATCCTTTGGCCGGCCCTGAGGAGGAGCCAGACCTTAGGGTTTAGGGTTTAGGGTTTAGGGTTTAGGGTTTTAGGGTTTAGGGTTTAGGGTTTAGGGTTTAGGGCTTAGGGTTTAGGGTTTTAGGTTTAGGTGCTTGTCAAAAGCCATGGGTTGTGACCTTGTGAGCTGATATACCCATGCGAAACAAACCCAAAGAACCACAAGTTCTGTACACTTCGAACAACGGTATACTTATTATAGACACACACACATATATATATATATATATACATAAATATATATATATAGAGAGAGAGAGAGAGAGAGAGCGAGACACGCAGGCGCACACAAAATTGGGGTTGGTTTGCAGCAGGAGGCGTTCGCGCTGCAAGACGCGGACCATCTCCCGCCCAGTCGGTCGACAGTGTCACTTCGAGGCCGCCCCCAGTCTCTGCGGTTTAGGCCCTAGAATGAAGTTTGGGTTTAGGGTTTAGGTTTTAGGGTTTAAGATTTAGGGTTTAGGGTTTAGGGTTTAAGATTTAGGGTTTAGGGTTTAGGGTTGATCTGAATTTCGGGGGCACTCTTCTGGTGCCATTTGCTGCAAGGCAAGGAAGCTTTGGTGATGGAGAACCCCGACAAGGGTCCATAATGTAGATCGTCCCCTGCCCCTCCTCCCCCCCAAGTTCCGTATGTTGGCTTTCTCGTGTGGGCGTGCACAACGTGCAGAGCAACATCCCGTTCTATTCGTTTGAAACAGGCGTTGGTTTGTTCAGTGAGCATATTTATGAAGCCCTTGAGCTCAAGGGTACAGAGCTCATTGCTCTGGACTCTGGGTATGGCGCCAGAACGCTGTGCCTTTCGATCGAAACTTTCAACAGCCTAAGCGCCGAAAGCCAAAGCTCCTGGCACCCATTCTCACATCAAATCTCGGAACTAAATACACCGCTCCCTCCCTTCACACATCATGCACACACACACACACACAAACAAACACACAAACAAACACACAAACAAACACACAAACAAACACACAAACAAACACACAAACGAACACACGCACACACGCACACACACCCACACACACACACACACACACACCCACACACACACACACACACACACACACACACACACACACTCACACTCACACTCACACTCACACTCACACTCACACTCACACTCACACACACACACACACACACACACACATCACGCGCAGAAGCACAAGTAGGCTCGCTTGCAGTTGTGGCCGAGGCATCCCCAGAAGTCCGGAGGCCGTGATTCCAGACTCTGCCGTGCTCGACAGGAAGGAGGTCTGGGTCGGCCCAGCTTCTCCAGGCCACGAAGTGCAGAGCCGAGCTGACGGCGATGCTGTCGCGGGGCATCCCTTGCCATCAAGTTTCCTTCACCATGATTCCTTGGGGCCCATGGGGCCCAGTGAGTTGTGCGAGGGCATAAGAAGACACCCACAGGCCAGCTTGCAGAGTGCCTCTCCCGCGTCGCCGGAGAGTCTGGCGCTGGGGATTGGAGCGCCTGCTGTGACGAGTCAGGCTCTGACAGCAACATGGGACAGGGAGGTGCAGAGGGCAAGTCTGCAAATGGAGAAGTTACAGGTCACCCTTCCTGAAGAGGCCTTGTTCACGTTTGGAGCACCCGCTTTCGATCAGGATGCTGCGAGTCCCGCACTAGTATTGCAAAGCGATGGTGGCACGGAAGCATCGCAGCGACTTGTACTCCAGCATCCTCAACACATGCCGATGCCCCCTGATACATCCGGAGAGGGCAGCCATATCAGTGAAGGGGCCGTCGCCGACGCTGCACGCGGGGACCTGCCCGCATCCGCGCCAGCAACTGAAGGGGAGCTCGTACCAAGCAGCCCTGCCGTCCGGAGTTCGCTTCCCACAGAGCAGCCTGCTAAGGAATCAGAGCCGAACCTTGAATCAGCCGAATTAACCCCTAAAGACATAGCTCGTGGCGATGTGATTTCCAAAGCACAAGACCCAGTGCTTCCACGAGATCACAACCTCAGACTTGCAGAGCCTGCGGTAAGGGAGGGCAGCGGCATGGCTTCCAAAGCTCTGGCTGGCTCCGGTTTTCATGCCCAAGGCATTGGAAATCCTTCTGTCGAGGGAGACAAGTCGGCGTCGAGCGTCGCCGACGCTCTTGTGTTGAACGATGTGTTGGAGCAAATGCCGTCAGCGGCAGTCGATGCCAGCAGTGCCAGCAGAGAACGAGGCACGCCTGGAGCTGAAGTGAATTCGGCAAAGACGATGGATGAGCCGGGCGAGCCACCAGCAGTTCAGATGAGCTCTCCGGAAGATTCCCTCAAGCTTGTTCCGCCTGACACCCTCACCTCGTCGAAGCATCCAACTACCAGCTCAGAGCCCACAGCCTCCGGCCCCGATTTGGCCGTAACTTAGGGATACTTGGAAAGAGTTTTTTTTGACTTTTGGGTACTATAATTCCAAAGAAACAGCTAGAATTATCACTTTGCGCTAGGGTTCCCCGAGTTCAGTATAGGTCGCCCACCAGACAGCTCCACCCTCCGGCCCAGCCTCCCCGAGCCAAGCGCCCAGCCCAACCGCGGCCGGAGCCCTCAGCGGAACCAACATGCCCGCGAGCATCTCGGATGTTCTTGTGGAGTTTAGGGTTTAGGGTTTAGGAAAGTTTACCTGATGAACCCTTACTCAGGGAGGTGCCAGGTGCCATTTGTGGGCCGTCTGCAAGTCAGATACCACGGATATATAGCTCGGGCACTAGAGGTGAACAAGCGTCGATGCAGTAACCTCACGACCTAGACCTTCCAAATTGACCATAAACACAGCTTGAATATGTACCTGTTGTAGCTTGAAGATGTATCCGTTGTATTGGGGCTACGAAAGGCCCTTGCTGCGGGTAACACTTTCCTTTCTTGTGAACCGAGTTGCCATAGAGACTCACGCCCTAAGCCTGAACCCCAAGGCCATCATTCTTAGGGTACCCATGGGTACCCTAAACCCCCCTAAACCCTAAACCCTAAAGCCTAAAGCCTAAAGCCTAAAGCCTACTTTTTTGAGGTGACGGGGAGACCCACCAAGGTACGAATCACCAGAGACATGGGCCAGCCACTTTGGAAGAGGGGTCTGGAGAGTCAGGGCCAGGGCCCGCAGGAGTCTTGGCGCCATTTTGTAAGCCCACGTGCAAAGTAACCTGCTTGCTGCAAAAGTTATCAGAGGGTTTGCACAAAGTTCAGCAGGCTTGGGGTGCTGGGTGTGGCGCTTCTCGCCTCATGGAGCTGATAACCCTCTGAGACTTCTCAGTGACTGAGTGACGGGTGCGCTTGGGGCAGCCGGGGGGGGGGGGGCAGGACGGCCAGGAATGAAGAAACGCGTTGCAAAACGGAACTCCATCCGTAGCCGTCGGTCGGCCATTAGTGGGCGATAGCTCGATGCGCACAGCTGTAGAGCTAGGGCTCTGGCCTCCAGGATACGGCTAACGACCCCTGAACCTTACCTACTCCTCTCCTACTTTTCTTGTGGCATGTGAGCTTAGGAGATGTAACCGTTCCCGTGGTTTCCACGGGCGCGGCTCCCGCGGTTTCTGGAATCAAGGCAGCAGACATAGCCTTGTTGGCGCTGCAGCACCCTAAACCCTAAGCCCCTAAACCCTAAACCCTAAACCCTAAACCCTAAACCCCTAAACCCCTAAAACCCTAAACCCTAAGGTGGGGTTGAGGGTTCTTCAGAGCCATTCGAAAGGCTTGAACAGGGAGTTTCCGAGTTGAATATGTTGAACAGGGCGGAAAGGTGTGCGATCAAGACCTCGGAAGCAACGGTTTAGGGTTTAGGGTTTAGGGTTGAGGGTTTAGGGTTTAGGGGTTAGGGTTTCAGCCATTATGGCTGCTAAGCAGGGTTGACAGGCTGTGTCGGTTTTTTCGAGGCCAACTTGGAAGCTGCGCACGGGTCGGGTGGGGTTAGCTTGAGGGGCCATCAGCATCCACACCTGCCGTCGGGTTTAGGGTTTAAGATTTGGGGTTTAGGGTTTAGGGCTCATGGTTTATGACTGTTTGCTCTAAGTGGTGCCTTGACCAGCAGTACCATATACTTTGTACTGCCCGGTTACTGCCGGGCGACTCCACCTTAATCCCCTAGGTATAGTAGAGCAGAAAACGGAACACACCCTGTAATGACAGTTCTAAGACTAGTGCGATTACCGGCGATTACCCCCTTCTTTTGGTTACTATAGACCCGCAAAGTGCCCAGAGCAATGACCTTCAACCCCGGTATGAAGGGCATGCAGGCAGGTAAAGACCCTAAAAACCCTAACAACCCTAAAAACCCTAAAAGCCCTAAAAAACCCTGAAAACCCCAAAACACTAAAAACACTAAACCCTATCCTCCAGGCAGTGTCCACTGCAGCGGCTTCGCCAGCTCAGGAAGACAACACACAGGCGAGCCACGAGCCTTCAGGGCATCAAAGTGTAGAGTTTGTTTTAGAATTTAGGGTTTAGGGTTTCAGGGAGTAAAGTATAGAGTTTGTTTTAGAAGTTAGGGTTTAGGGTTTCAGGGTTTAGGGTTTTCTGGTTGAGGGCTTTAGGGTTTTTGGGGTTTAGGCAGGTTTTAGGGTTTTGTTGGAATTTCGGGTTTTTAGGGTTTTGTGAGAGTTTCGGGTTCAAGCCCCGGGATGGGGAGCTGTAGGTTCACGGGTTTTGTTTTTTGGGTGGCTCCAGTGATGTTGCCCGTATTCCCTTTGTATGTTTGTGCAGTTGCTTTTCATGCTGGCCCAGGGGCCTAACAACCCTCAACCCTCTAACCTCTTCTAACCTCTAACCTAAACCTCAAACCCTAAACCCCAAACCCTAAACCCTAAACCCTCAAACCCTAAACCCTAAACCGGAAGCCGGCTCGAAAGTGCATCCTCCGAAGCCACCTGACATGGGGGTGGGGAGGTGGTTGATCTGAACTATGGTCCCCTTAGAGGGTTCAGGGTTTAGGGTTTAAGGTGTAGGGTTTAGGGTTTCGGGTTTAGGGACAACAGCGTTGCTTATAAAAGGGACCTTATGTCGAATGTAGAACAAGCCCCCCCCCCCCCCCCCCCCCCCCCCCCCGTACCCGAAAACCCTAGTACAGTCATGGCCAACATGCAGCTAGAAATAGTAGCCTCTCTGCTGCGGCCCTGTGATCCCTGACATCCCGAGACTTAGAGTAACCCATGCCCCTAAACAAGGAGCATGGCCTCAATTTGTTGGGGCATATTTTGCAAGATACTGGGTTTTTCTTTGCGCCTGGGTCTAGAGGGCCTAGGCACGGCTATAGCTAAGAGAGTTAGAACCTCATTTATGATTCTTATAACCCAATTCAGGGTCCTTATGACTCTACTTATAGCTAAGGGGCCCCCTTCTTGTAGGCACTGCCGCAAAATCCGTGCCGGCCCATCCTCCTGCGAAAGGAGCTCTTGCAGCAGCTGCGGGAACAGCAGGCAGCACTTCAGCGGCAGGTGGAGCGGTTGCGCCTTGGCCCTGTTTGGACTGGATCGACGTTCGTGGTATACATATTGTATGTACACATATACATATGTATATATATACATACATGTATACACACATAAAAACACACACACACACACACACATAAGAAAATGAAAACAAAAAAGCACACACACACACACACACACATGTATAAATATATATATATATATGTATAGGTAGAGTCCTGTTTGCTTGGCCGCATGCTTTTGGGTTGTTGGGCATTTGAGTTTATAATCCCAGGCCCCGGAGGATCCTCAAAAGAGGGAATGTGGGCGGCTTTGCCTATGCCCTCAGCCACCATAGCCTTGTACCCTCCAGATCCTCAAATCCCCTGAATCCTAAACCCCAAGCCCTCATATCCCAGACTTACCCTATCGAGATACTAGCAGCCTGGAGTGCCACACAAATGTTGAACCACCGCAAGAGGCCTACCAGGAGTTGGCATGCCTGTACACTAAGCAAGGGGAAACAAGAACTAAGGCAACCTTTCGCATCTAAGGGTATGTAATATGTATATACATGTATACATATGATATATATACACATATAATATATACATATATGATAGATGGAGGTTCCCTGGGTATGGCTTCCCTTCCTCCTTTGCAGGAAGCGGGACCGGGAGCGTGAGCGCGCGCGGCCCTTGCGGGCGACGGCGCTTGCGGAGGTGCCTGCTGAACCGATGCCTCCAGCCCTGTTACCCAAGTAAACCCCTACACCCCTCAACCACGAAGACTACCAGCAAACATGGTTTAGGGTTTAGGGTTCAGGGTTTCGGGTTTAGGGTTTAGAGGCCCCTAAACCCCAAATGATCGCAAGCCAAGTATGCAACAAGTGAACTGTGAAGCTTTGGGGAACGCTGGGGAACTTTCGGCTGTTCTATAGGAGTCGGTATAATTTCAAACAATATTCCCTTAGGGTCCCTTTGCAATTATACTTCATACTTTAATAACCTCCAAAACCCTATTCTAATCATTAAGGCATTATTAAGGCCCCTATATTGCTTAGGTGCTGGGTGGGTAACCTTTGAGCCTTTGTGGGGTAGACTAAAACCCCTTAAAACGCAAAGGTTAACCTTTTTCCCCCAAGGGAACTCAGCAGCGAAAGTCTTAGTACCTCAGGGAATGAGGCACTTGGTTTCCGATGTTCCCTTATACTCAAGCGATTAGACAGGGCACCTAAGTGGTACCTACTTCCCCAGCAAGTAAAGCCCCTAACTCGGATCTGCGGATTACATGATCTGGTTCAGGAGGATAGCGCAGTTCGACTGGAGGAGGCAAGCGCTGCGGAGATTCAGGAGGTTTTGGGTTTGAGCTCAGGGTTTAGGGTTTAGGGTCTAGTCAGGTTGAAGATAAAGCTAAAACCCTAGACCCAAGTTCACAACAGCCCAAGAAGTTTGAGAAGTTCCCAGGTTTGGGGCAGTTCAAGGTGTAGGGCAACACGAAACCCGAGGCCGTAAAACTTTCATGCTGCGCCTTGCATAAGACTTAATGTGAAAGGCACGTCTAGCAAAAGGATTTCAACTTACATGCATGTGTTTATACATATATGTATATATATATACATATATATATATGTATATATATATGTATATATATATGTATATATATATGTATATATATGTATATATATATATGTATATATATATATATGTATATATATATATGTATATGTGTGTATATATATATACATGTATGCATGTATCTGTGTACGTATGGTTCTCTTCGGCATGGGTCAGGGCTTATGGTGGATGATCGGGAGAGGCCTCTGGTGGCGCTTCTATGCAGTGGGCCTCCTCTGAGCCGTCCCCGCCTGCCGACAAGGCTTAGGGAAGGAAGCCGGTTTCGCAACTTTTGGGCTGCTTAGGGTTTAGGCTATTTGGGGTTTAGGGTGTTGGGATTTGGGTTTTGGGTCTAGGGCTGTTCAGGGTTTCGGGGCGCCAATACATAACGGAAAGTTTTATATTTAGAAAATCAAAATGGGTTTAGACTAGAGCAATAGTTTAGGAGTTCTGGGTTCATGTCACAGGGGTGGCCTTGGCATCTGAGACATGGGCGCTGATGGTGCATCCAAAAGGGCAGAACGTCTAACGATCTAACGCCCTCAGCAGCCCGCCAGCGCCATCCCCTGGGGCAGACCCTCTGCTTTGGAGCCTGGCTTGTAGTCGGTGAGCCCGCTAGGATGAGGTCAAGGGGTTAGGGTTTAGGGTTTAGGGTTTATGTGTAGCCATGGTAGCTGAGTCTACATGTAAGGGCTGATGTTGACTTTTCGGGGTTTCCTTCTTCCGAGAAGACGCGTCGGTAGCTAGATTCACAACCCAGTAGCAAAAAGTATGGCACCACTATTGCTACGTCTGCGTGAACCCAAATTTTGCAACCCCCAATAAAAGGAGAGATCTGAAGCAGAAGGTGAGCCTATGCCCCAGAACCTAAACCCCAAACCTGCATTTCTTATGGACTCTAACGTCTGAAACAAACACAGGTATTTCCGGAGTTTAGCATAGAGGTTTTTGTGCTACAGGCCCATAGGTTCCTCTGAGTCTCTCTCGGCAAACCCCACAAAAAGCAAACTCCCCCGCCCCACCAACCACCCTATACCCTAAACCCCAAACCCCAAACCCTAAACCCTACACCCTACACCCTAAACCCTAAACCCTAAACCCTAACAGGTGCCGCCGTCATCGCCACCTGGGTGATGGCCTTGGTCCGACTAAGAAGCCCAATAAGACCCTATAAGGCCATATAACATCCGATAAACCCTACGACCCCCTAAAAACCCTATGCACCCTATAAACTAAACCCTAAACCCTACTATACACCCTATAAGCCCTGTAAGCCCTAGGAACAATGTACACCCTAAACCCGGCTGTTGAAACGGGATTTGGCCCGCAGTGCTGTAGGGGTTGCCTGACTCAGCCCGAAACCCAAGTCTTCTGCACGATGCCTGACAACACTCGGTGAGAACCTACAAGTGCTTTGAGAATCGGAACCCACAAGCAAGGTTTGGGGGCTTATAGTATTCGGAGGGGGGGGGGGGGGGGGGGGGGGGGTTAGGCTTTGTGTTTAGGCATGGCGATCGATGGTCCACCATGTGGCAGCACGCGCCATCGCTTGTGCTAGTTTTCAAGGCACAGAACACAGAAAACCGGACAGACATGTCACATACTCGTCGCCACTGACCTGATGTACCCCCCCTTTTTCCCCGTAAACCCCGCCCTTATCAGCCCTAAACCCTACACCCTACTCCGTCATGAAGCTTCAGCTGTGAAGTTCACTGTCTTGCTGTTTGGGAGTGCGGCTTAGGATGGTTAAGGGTTTAGAACCTTCCCCCCTAACCCCAAATCCTAAACCCTAAACCCCAAAATCCTACAACCCATGTGCCTGTCTCTTAGGTCAAACGCGGGGCCGTCGAGCCCGAAGCGCAGCGGACCGATGCAGGTATCGTGGGTTTCCCTACTACCCCCCCCCCCCCTCTGTATACTAAGCCCCCCCTAAGTTTCCCCCTCTTAAATCGCCTTAAGGTTCTGTAGTGAACCAGTCAGAATACCCCCCCCCCCAGTTCCCCCCCTTAAATAACCTTAAGGTTCTGTAGTGAACCAGTCAGAATACCATCCCTAAGTTCCCTAAACCCTAAACCCTAAACCCTAAACCCTAAACCTTAAGTAACCTTAAGGTTCTGTAGTGAACCGGTCAGAATTTCTCCGAGCCTCTTGAGGTCGAAGGCGTCCCTAGAGCCCGCAAACCCTATTTCCCCTAACGGTTTTGGATTCAGGGTTTAGGGTTTAGGGTTCAGGGTTCAGGGTTTAGGGTTTAGGGTTTAGGGTGCAGGGTTCAGGGTTTAGGGTGCAGGGTTTAGGGTTCAGGGTTCAGGGTTTAGGGTTTAGGGTGCAGGGTTTAGGGTTTAGGGTTTAGGGTTTAGGGTTTAGGGCGCAAAAGGGTTTAGGGTTTAAACCCTGTAGACCCCAATCCCTTCTTGGGGTCGAAGGTGGCCTTGCCGCCCTGCTCGGCCAGCCGTGTGCTCCAGAGGTGCCCGACAGTTGGGGTCGCAGGGCCCACGGGGTTTGGGGTTTAGGGTTTAGGGTTTAGGGTTTTTCGGGGTTGTCAACCGCACTTTCCCCAAGTGCATAGACCCCAGGAATTAGATAAAATCCTAAGGCCCCTGCAACCCGAAAGCCCTCAACCCCCAAACCCTAGATTTCGGAACCCTGGGAAAGCCCGAGAGGCTTCGGCCTCTTAGGGTTTATGGGGGTTTATAGGGTTTAGGGCTTTGTAGGGTTTAGGATTTAGGATTTAATTAGGGTTTAGAGTTTAGGGTTTAGGGGCTCCCCAGATGGCCTGAGAAGAGAAGCAGTAGCAGGACACCGAAAGACCAAAAAGCCCTGAGCCGGCTCTTCAGCAAATACAGATATCCATTTTGGTGAAATAGGCCCCTATGTCATGCCCTTAGTCCCTGAAACACAAATGAACTCTGAAACCCCCACATGCCCACACACCCTGAACCCTACGGACCTGAATAAGCCGTCTACATCAAAACCCAACAGCCCTTAATCCTTTATTGTTCAACTCTTCCATAAAAAAAAGGGTTAAACCCCTCAAAGACCTTAAACCCCACATGCCCTTTGTGTTTCCACATAAACCCCAAATATTCACACGTTTATTGCAATCTGTGCGTACCTGCGCTTTAGGCGGAGTCCACTCCACGTGGCCGCCAAGGGGGGCCGCCTGGAGGCCTTCCTGAGAGCGACTCTTTTTGAAAGGTTTTGGGCTTTAGGCCATCTTTTTGGTTTTTGGTTTCAGTATTCGGCTTATTGCGGCTTAGGGTTTTTATGAGGATTGTGGGGTTTGGGGTTGTAGGGTTCGGGGTTGAGGGGGTTTCGGGTTCTGGGCCGAGGCTCTTCGGACCAAAAGGCGCACGAAGCAACGTAGCCGAAGTCAGCCCGCGCGAGATGATTCACCAAGAAACCGATCCAAAGAGAAACCTGCTATTTTGCACAGGACAAGTTTTCCTTTCTCGGTTTAGGGGCTTGGTCCCTAAACCCGAAACCCTACCCCTTAAAGCCTAATTTAGGGCTTGACGTCCACTTGCAGGATCGGGAAAGCTTGGTAAGTATAGTTGTTAACTCGGGTTCTGTTCCAGAACTAGGGTCCTGGTTTAGCGTTTAGGGTTTAGGGTTGAGTAGGCGACCCCCAAGAGTAGGAGGAGCTTGTGACTCTCCTTGGTACCCACTTGCGAAGACGGTCCCGCATCCCCCAAACAGGTGTGTCTGGCTCTGCTGGACGAGGCCAGGAATCTGTACAAGGGGTTTAGGGTTTAGGGTTTAACCCTAACCCCTGCACCCTAAACCCTGCCGGCTAGCCGGGAGTTACGAATCCAGGCGACCTGCTTGCCTTTTCATGCTGTGCTCCCTGGACCATGAAACCGCAAGAGTTCTCTGCATTTTGTGGGTGGGGGGGGGGGGGGGGGGGGGGATCCAACCTAGGAGCCAGAGGGGTCTAGTTTCCCTTAGAAGCCCCTTCAAACCAAAAAAGAGTCCCTATTGCTAAGTTACTCCTGGGTTTCGCAAAGCTCTAGATCAGGAGTTGATGCGTTTCAGGAGGGGTTATGGATTGCCGGGGCTGGGGTTTGGGTTTAGGGTTTAGGGGTTTAGGGTTTAGGGTTTAGGGGTGTAGGGTTTAGGGTTTAGGGTTTAGGGGCTTAGGGGTGTAGGGTTTAGGGGTCTTGGGTGTTACGGTCTTAGGGTTTAGGGGTTATGAAGTCTTAAGAGCAGCCATGATGGTCGTCAAGTGTACTCCAGGAGCCGGTATAATAACTAATCGCATTCCCTTATGGTCCCTTTACAGTTATACTACAATAGCCCCCCCCCCCCCCAAAAAAAAATAGTAACCCTATTCTAATAATTCAGGCTTTTTATATTAGACTGACAGCCGACCCCCGTCTCCACCCTCTGCTTTCCCTCTGCGCTTCGACTGCAGGGCCTGGTGGATGTGAATGCTCAGGCCGATGCCACACTTGTTTTTGTCTCACTTTTTTTGTTTTGTGTGTCTCTCTCTCTCTCTCTCACTCCCTTTTTTTTCTCTCTCCCTCTCTCTGTCGCATGTACATATGTATATATGTTCCTTAAATCTGTTCCAGCAACAGCAATAGACGATTCCATTACTCGTCAGGTAAACGAGATGTTCGGGAACAAAGGTTTAGAATGAGCCTGGGTTATGGACACAGGTTGCGACATTCCACTCCCGTGTGCAGCTGGTGCCCCTGAGCTCTCGTTGTCTCAAAGGGTCCACCGCCCCCATGTATCCGGTGCTAGGGTTTCGGATTTAGCGTCTGTATGGTTTTTTGGTTTAGAGGTTTTGGGTTTTGGGGGGGTTGTAGGGCGCATGATTCACGTGCTCAATAGATGTGGATCTAGGATGGCACTGGCCCAAGACGCGTAAGCTAGGATCCGGAGTAGGCCCTTTTTCCTTTTTTAGGGTTGGGGTTGCCTTAGAATGCCCTTATAACCAAAAAGGGCACCCTTTTTATTCCTAGGCTACTCCCGGGTCTAGAATATGCGCAAGAATGTGCGTAAGATTCTGTGATTCACAAGACCCAACACGCACAAATACAGATTCAGACAGTTTCCGAAATGGAAGCCGCGCACCTAAACCCGATATACCGTAAACCCTTCAGGGCATTTGGGTTTAGGGCTTAGGGTTTAGGGTTTAGGTTTGCGAAACCCCAACATCCTCTATCCCATGTAGCCCTGTTTCCCCCCTAGCCCCTGAACCCTGCAATCTGATTTGCCCAACCGCGACGATCGATTGGGGCATTTGAGGTTCAGGGTTTGGGGAGTTTGCAAGCTTGGGGTCCAGATTAAAAGTTTTAGGTTTGGGGTTTAAAGTGTGTGACAACGCTTGGGGCTTCAAGGTTCAGGATATGACTTTTGAGTTTGCGCTTTTCGGCTCGGGTGGTTCTTAATACTGGAAGAGCGCTGCCCGGGTCCCAAACCCCCTGAGATTCCCTTCATGTGCACATGGTCGCACACTGAATGCTTGGCTCTGCCGTTTATAGGCTTCACGAGTTTGTGGGGGTCTCCGAAAATGGCGGTTCGTATCCTCTGTATACTTCAAGGCCTTATGGGGGTCTCCGAAATCCGGAAAAATAGGGGTTCGCATACGCTATTTACTTTTAGAGGCTCCCCAAAAAATTGTGGAAGGACATGCACGGCTCGACCTGCTTTCACTACGCATGCGCGGGAGGCTTTCCTGCGTGGTGTGTTTGAGTTTTTGGAGGCTTTGGGATCGAAGGGGTGAAGGGTTTGGATTTTAGGGTTAAGGATTTGAAGGTTTTGGATATGAGGATCAAGGTAGAAGTTAGGGCTTATGTTCTTTGTTGAAGTCTTTGTTGTAGCAGGATTTGTCGAATACCACTGGTGAGGATCTGTGAGCAACAGCCGGATGCATGCACTTGGTACGAGGAGAGCTTGATGATTGATGAGCCCTGAAATCCCTACACCCTAGCTAAGCCTCTTGGGATATGTTATGTTTAGCAGAGGCCTTTATAGAGCCAGCCTACTTGATGGTTCATGGGTAGCTATAAGCAGGGTAGGTACCTTAATTCAGGTTCATATTATCGTATACTGTTATCCCTTACTTTAGAACCCTACTCATAACTACCCACGAACCTTCATGTAGAACCTTGGGATGTTCCCCCTTATACTAGGGAGTATAGTACCCCCTACTTTAATCCCTTTTACGATTCTGCTAGTTTAATTGGGGGAACATCCCAAGTAGAACCCTTGAATCGGCCCAAGCTAAACCGCAAACCCCACACCCCAAACCCTAAACCCCAAACCCCAAACCCTAAACCCTAAACCCCAAACCCTAAACCCTAAACCCTAAAAACCCAGTGGCCTGCGCAAGGCCATTTCCAGATCTGCGCTGCCCTATTGGCCCACCCTCCCTTCCAGGGCTTGGCCCGGGGCCCCTGGATATTTAGGGTTCGGGGAATTAGGGTTTAGGGTTTAGGGTTCAGGGAATTAGGGTTTAGGGTTTAGGGTTTAGGGTTTAGGGTTTCGGGCTTAGGGTTTAGGGTTCAGGGAATTAGGGTTTAGGGTTTCGGGCTTAGGGTTTAGGGAATAGGGAATTAGGGTTTAGGGTTTAGGGAATTAGGGTTTAGGGTTTCGGGCTTAGGGTTTAGGGTTCAGGGAATTAGGGTTTAGGGTTTAGGGAATTAGGGTTTAGGGTTTAGGGAATTAGGGTTTAGGGTTTAGGGAATTGGGAATTAGGGTTTAGGGTTTAGGGTCCCTTCGAGGGCTTGGCCCGGGATCCCTGGCAACCTTGTTCCTCTAGGGATTTAGGGGTTTTAGGGGTTTTAGGGTTTTTAGGGTCTTTCAGGTTTCAAGGTTTTAGGGTTTTTAGGGTTTTTAGGGTTTTTGGGGTTTTACGGTTTTAAGGTTTCGGGCTTTTCCAAAAACAAAGCTAAAAAACACCAAACCCTACACACTCTAAACCCATAGGGCTTACGGTTTTAGGATGGCCCGGGCTTAGTACTTAGATGGCATTCCCAGCTACCCACTTTTTCGGGTCTAGGGTTGGGGGTTTTAGGGGTTTAGTTTTTTGTTTGTTCAGGTTTTTTGGGTTTTGGGTTTTTGGGGTTTTGGGCTTTCGGGCTTTTGGGCTTTTGGGCTTTCGGGCTTCGGGCTTCGGGCTTTCGGACAAACCCTGAACATCCCGAAAGCCGAGGAAGACCCCCGCATGAACTCCTGCAACACCCCATGACCCTCGGTGCCCTGGATCCTTAGAGCCCTACGGGGGGTTTAGGGTTTAGGGTTTCGGGCCCCTGGAACTTTCAATGCTGGCTCCTAAACCCCAAAGCCCCGACCGATAATGGCCTCGGAACTCCATGCACTCATTTGGTGTGGTTTAGGCTCTAAGGGGCTTTATAAACCCCTTTAAAACAAAAATGGGGGCACTCTTGTTAAACGCTGGGTTACTGGGAATAAACCCTAAACCCCTAACCCTAAACCCCAAACCCTAAACCCTAAACCCTACACCCCAAACCCTAAACTCGTAGTTCTTTATCCACAAGGCCGCCGTGGACGCCCTGTGCTGCAACGCCTTGCACATAGCGGCCGCTGCAGGCACTTAAGAACAGTCACCCTAAACCCTAAACCCTAAACTTCCAAACCCTGCTAGAATCCCTGATAAGGACTGTTAGCCTAATTAAGGGGGAACATCCCAAACTTGAGAGTTTAGAAGGTTGAGGAGCCTGGGGTTCAGGGTTTTGGGGCTTTTGGGTGTTTTGATTGTGTTTTGATTGGGGCAAGTAGGGCTTTTAGGGCCAAAATTGCCTTACTGCTTCGGAGTGTTTTCCTAGAGTGTAGGTCTAGGGCTTCAGGGCTTCAGGGTGTAAGCCCCATCGATTTTTAGGGGCTTATCAGGCTTATCCTGCTTTGGCATGGGGGTCCCGAGGCCCTACCAGGGCAAGATGCTGAACCATCGCAGGAGGGTCGTACTTAAACCCTAAACCCTAAACCCTAACCCCTAAAGCCTGCTCCATCCGGCCAGCGGCCAGGCCACGGCGAAATCTGCCAGCTCATCTTGACCCATGCCATAGAACCTGGGCTTGGGTTGCGCATCTGGTCCTCAACCCTAAACCCTAAACCCTAAACCGTGGTGAGTTCCTCATGTTTATTGTTGATATGGGCGGCCTTGAAACACGAACACGCACGAGGAAGGATGCGCTGCTCTGCACCCCAGTCAGAGAGTTCTGTTGAACTGCGGTTTAGGGGTTTGGGTTTAGGGGTTTAGGGGTTTAGGGTTGAGGGTTGAGGGTTTAGGGTTTAGGGTTTAGGTTTAGGGGTTTAGGGGAGAGCGTGAAAGCCAAAGATCCATTCAAGGGCGCCCCCTGCAAGCCAAGGATGTGGCAATGCATGGAACGTTCCACATGCTGGTTCAGCAGCATGCCTTCCTTTCCGGGGAATTGAGGACATGCGCCTTCGTGTTCTTCTAGTGTTTGCCTTTGAAGGATCTACTTTTGAAGAACGAAATAAGGGTTTAGGGTTCAGGGATGGTTTAGGGCCTAGGGGGTCGTTTCGGGTTTTGGGCTTAGGGTGCGCTTCTGGGGTTGATTGGAGTAGCAGCAATCCCAAAGGCCTTGACAGCAAGTCGACATGCTCCTCCAAGCGACACAAGTATCACAGCAGGACCATCGTGCTATCAGCTAAGGGTGTGTGTGTGTGTGTGTAAACCCAGCGGCTTATCTTGTTTGTGCAGCAGAGTCATGCGCCTTTTCCCCGGCTCAGGCAACGGAATATCTGGGGCCAGGCGCGCAAACTGCACGGCTTATCTGTTCGAGACATGAGAACTGAGCTCTGAACCCCCATGCGCCCATAGATACTGGCCTATAAAACCTGGTAAGTAATAGACTCGCACCCGAATAATTGCAGCCACTGTGAAGCCCCACTTGAAGGTTCATGGGTAGTGAGTAGTGAAAAGTAGTGTAAAAAAAGTACCCCAGTCAACGTTGTAATATGGGTTACCTTGCTGGACTATTTAATTACCCTTCTTATGGCCACCCAGGAACCTTCAAGTAACCCTCAACCCTCAACCCCGACTAAACCCTCAGCCTTAAACCCTAAACCCTCAACCCTAGACCCCAAACCCCAAATCCTTAACCCTAAACCCCAAACCCTAAACCCTAAACCCTAAACCCTAAACCCTAAACAGCCTCACAAGTTGAGGGCTGCGGGCAGGTCCCCTTTGACGTGGCCACCGGCTCTGCCCGATACGTGCTTTTGACGAAGGGCTTGGGCCGAGGACTCTTCAAAGAGCAGGAAAAACCGTGAGATCCGGGCTTGAAGGTTGAGAGGTTTAGGGGTTTAGGGTTTGGGGTTTGGGGTTTAGGGTTTAGGGTTCAGGGTTTAGGGTTTAGGGTTTAGGGTTGTGAGACTTCTTATGTGACCTTTTGGGGAGTACCCGGCATTGTTCGCAGAGGCCTGGATGCAAAAGGGTTTAGGGTTTAGGGTTTAGGGTTCAGGGTTTATGCGACTTGTCAGAAGGACCTCTCCGAAGCATACAGCTTGGGGTGAGAATACGAAAGGACTGAGGGGTTCAGGGTTTAGGGTTTAGGGTGTAGGGTTTAGGGTTAAACCTCGATTCCAGCTGAGGCCCGGTTTAGGGTTGGGGAGAAGGGGCTGTCGAGTTTCAGCCACATTGCTGCCTTTCTACGTGGTGACTGTGATGTCACATCTTCTGTTATCTTCGCAGCACATGCCTTTCATGCGCGGCCTGTCGCTGGCTAGCCCTCCCGGATCCATTTCATTACAGCTTCGTGCTCAGTTCCTTGTGGCCCCATATGGTGATCATGAATACATAGGGGCTGGGTAGTTAAGCTTTAACCTTTTTGGTTGCATAGAATCCCATTATAGATCAAAGGTGAACCTTTTTTGGCTAGGGTATTCCCTAAAAACTAAACCCTAAACCCAAAAGCCAAACCCTAAACCCTAAACCCTAATCCCTAAACCCTATTCCGCCAACAAGAATGTGTGATTCTTCAGCGGAATCTTCCACAACGCGAGCACAAGCTGGCCGGTCTCGCTACAAACAACTACTGGGCTTTAGGGCTTAGGGTTTAGAGTCTAGGGTTTAGGATTTAGTTTTGGAGTACTATACTTTCATACGTCCTTCTATGGTACTTGTACCTAAGAAGTATACTTTTTCCAAGGTCTACTCCAAAGTAGGGACTAGATTTACTGCTACTGGTATTTGCTTAAGAACGCCCCGTTAGGTGCTGGGTGGGGTAGCCTTTAACCTTTTCGGGTAGGATAACAAGCAATTTTGGGATTGTTTTCTTTCATTCTTGTTAAGAACACCCCAAAGAATAAGAATGTTCTTCCTTATACAAGCAATCGTTGGGCTCTTACGCAAATATCTTCCTCACAAGGGCTGTCCTCCGTTCTTTTTTGGCTCAACAGTTGCCCTTGGAGGGTCGGTGTCCGTGGCAGCAGGAGGCCACGGGAACATGGACATTTGGGAGTTTAGGGTTAATGGGTTAAGGCTTAGGGTTTAGGGCCAGTTTAGGGCTTAGGGTTTCAGACTTTGAGAGGGGGTTCCTGTTTGTAGTGGTTGCATGGTTGAGGGCACTTTTCAGCCAATCTCTATGCCCTAAGCCAACAACCCCTTCTGAGGGCGAGAAGTGCAGGGCTTGTGATTCTTTGGTTGAGGACTTGCTTGGATGATCTGTGGAACCCCGAGACAGAGCCCAAACCTCACTCAATATGAGGGTTTAGGGTTTAGGGTTTAGGGTTTAGGGTTTAGGGTTTCGGGTTTAGGGTTTAGGCGCCTCAACCCTCTGCACCCCAACCCTAGACCCCTGGCACAGGCCCGGCACACCCCACTGGGGACTCTGAGCCATGCCAGGGATCTTTGACGACACTCTTCGGCATTTAGGGTTCTGAAAGGTTTAGGGTTTAGGGTTTAGGGTTTAGGGTTTAGGGTTTAGGGTTTAGGGTTTAGGGTTTAGGGTTTAGGGTTTAGGGTTTAGGGTTCAGGGTTCAGGGTTCAGGGTTGAGGGTTGAGGGTGCCGTCTTTGGGGTTTGGGGAGTCGGGCTTTATGTATGGCTCTATAGAGTTGAAGGCTTGGCGTTTGGGACTTAGGGTTCGGGCTTCGGGTTTAGGGTGTAGGGTGTAGGGCTTAGGGCTTAGGGTTTAGGGTTTGGCCACCCTAAGCCCCCCCCCCCCCCCCCCCCCCCCCCCGCCCCCCCACCCCAAACCCTATTCTAATTATTCAGGCCCCCCTATATTAAGTGTGTAGAGGTATCCTTTCAAAGGGAAGGCATCTACTTGGCAGCCCAGTGGTGCCCTTTTGCTCTTTTTGGCTGGGTTCCCTTCTTTAAGTTCTTACAAAGTACCCAATACCAAAACAGGGCCCGAACTGTCCTCAACCCTAAACCATCCTCATCAAGCTTTCACATTGCGACCCTGAACCAAAAGACTCTAAGGTTCTGCGAAACCTAGAACCCCAACAAGCCCACAGAACATCCTAAAAACCCAGATCCCCTAATCCTAGCAACCATCATCCTAAATCCTGAACCCCTGGACCCTAGACCCTAGAAACCCCTTAAACCCTAAAAGTCCCATGAACCCTACACTCCTCATCCTAAACCCCTTGACCCTAAACCCTAGAAACCCCTAAACCCTAAAAGCCCTGTAAACCCTAAACCCTCACTAACCCTAAACCCTAAACAGTAAAAGACCTCAACCCTAAAAGCCCTAAAAACCCTACACCCCAAACCCTAGCTCCCCGGAACCCTCCCAAAACCCTCGCCTTATGTCCCTAAACCCTAAACCCCAAACTTTTCACCCCAAACCTTAAACCCTAAACCCCTCACCTTGTCCCTCTTCCGGAGGACCTGCAGCCCTGCATCGACCAGGGCAAGAAGGCCTACGAGGAGATTCAGCGCCGGCCTCAACAGCAGGATCTGGGGTTTTTTGGGGGGGGGAGGGGGGGGTTTTGGGGTGTTAGGGTTTAGGGGTTAGGGGATAGGGTTTAGGGTTTAGGATTTAGGGTTTAGGGTTTAGGGTTTAGGTTTCAAGGCATTTTTGTTTTTTTTTTGGGGGGGGGGGGGTCAGGGGTTCGGGCGTTTTTTGATATTTCCTGGGACCTGGGATGTGTTGTATTTCTCCTTTGTTGGGTTTAAGAGGATGTTGTTCTTGAGTTTGTGAAAGCAATCCTGTTTTTTTCAGTAAAATATGTTGGATGCTTGCTGCCCGTGCAGTCATATGCATGTAAGTGACAGCAGAAACTACCCCGAGGCCCTTGTCTATCCACGAAGTCCCTATTCCTAGGCTGCGTTCAGGACCCCTCAATCTTCGTTATATGATAACGTCATTCTTTGGGGTCCCTGTTTCAATAGGCCTTCTTGTCTTAGGGTACTGTTACTTGGCGAGCTGACTTCATACTCCCTGGACCTCGACCTGTCCCTGGGACTAAGTTTGGGTTTACTTAGGACCTGTCCTTGTGCAAGGAAAAAACATGGGCCCGAGCAAGCTGCTAAGATTGAGGGGCACTGCACCTTCCTGCCGGAACCTCGGTGGTTGGCTTGGCAGGCTTCCGGCAAAGTTTTTTTTCCGAGGCTTGGTGGGTTTCAACTGTGCAGATTTTTCAGTCATTCTGTATGCCGATGTGCTGGACAATATGGGCGTGTCCAAGAAAGGGGGTGTCCCTAACATACCCCCAATACTATTACAAGCCTTGATGTAGGAATCCGCCAAAAAAACAAACAAAAAACTCCCCCATTTGGAGCCCCACCCCACCATGTTTGATTGTATGCCATGGCTGCGACGCTAGTGGCTCTTGCTTTGGGTAGGCCTTTGGGAGAATGACCATGTAAGATATTGTCTTACATGTTCGCCCATGGGGTTTAAAGGTTTAACGTTTCAGGGCTTTAGGGGGTTTAAGGGTGTAGGGGTTTAGGGCTTAGGAATGCCTAAACCCTGAACCCTGAACCCTAAACCCTTAACCCTAAACCTTTCAGAGGGTTTAGGGTTTAGTTTTTGGGTGTAGGGTTTAGGAGTATGTTCAGAGGGTTTTAAGGGCCGGGCTTGGGCTTTGACCCTTGGGACCCCGGCCAGCATTTGGCTTGTGTTGGTTTAGGGTTCAGGGTTCAGCCTGGAGTGTTTAGGGTTTAGGGTTCAGGGTTCAGGGTTTAGGGTTTAGGGTTTAGGGCTCAGGGGTTTAGGGCTTAGGTTCAGGAGCTCTCCCTAGCTGGTATGGTCCGAGTCTGCTGAAGGTGGGACTGGGTCCGGGAAGAGATGCCCCTCGAGCAGCTCCGACGCGTTTTCAGCTGGTGGAGTTTAGGGTTTAGGGTTTGGGGTTTAGGGTGTTCGGAAACTGACGAGGGGGGGTGGGGGGATCATCCCGTGCAGCTTACCTGCCTACCAAGAACCTAGTCAGAGATACTTGCTACTGCCTGCGCTGGTGCAGCGTTCAAGTGCAAAATTTAGGGGTTTCCGAGATTGGGGGGTACCTTATTGGGGTTAGTATAAGGGGATCCTACTATTGGGGATCCATATTCGGCGTCCCCCATTTTCACCCCCGTTTGTTTCCGGGGCTCACGGTGCTTTGTATTCAGTCACTGCAGGTGGTCTTGTGCATGGGGAAAGACTCTTACTAGGCAGAAGCGGTATTATCTAGAGCGCATGGAATAGCCCTATAAAGGTCGTCTTAGTCCCAAGACTCCGAGAACCCGCAGCCTTCCATGAAAACCGAACGCATCATTATCATATCCTTGAGCATTAGGGTTTAGGGTTTAGGGGCCCAAGCATGCCCCCGCCAGGAATGACGAGGGAACTGCTCTAGAAGAGTCTGCTGCGCCCTTGGTCAAAGTTGCAGCATTTCTACTATTGAGGAGTCTCCTGCATGTCGGTGATCAACTGAAGTTAACTTTCAAGGTCCTCATCATAGACAGGCAGGATATTCAGATATCATGCACGGCTGCTGTGAACGACAGGGCTCCGGAGGTCAGCAGCAAGCATGGTGTCATGCAGTCAGGCCCAGCGGCCTCCCCATGCCTTGCCCAACTTCGTGGTAGTTAGGCCCCTGACCCTAAACCCTAAACCCTAAACCCTAAACCCTAAACCCTAAAGAAGATGAGCAGAAAGGGCGTGCTGCGGTTCCTGCATGCTGCTCAGGTTCGCGAAATTGTCGCGAACTCCTGCTGCCAGTCTGCCTGCCTCGTTTTAGTGAACTAGGACCCGGAGCAGGCCCTGCTTTCCTTTTTCTTAGGCTTGGGTTCCCTTTTACTCCCCTTAAACCCAAAAAGAGTACCGGTTTTATGCCCAGGTTACTCCTGGGTCTAGTGAAAGTGCATGAGAGGGATGGTGGCGCAGGGAAAGGGGGCTTCTGAAGCAGCTGGTGTTACCACTGAAAGGTTGCTCAAGAATGTTTCACCTGCGCCGCATTCTAAGCCCATGGACATGGAGGGTTGCCCTTGTGCCGGCTCACCTCATTGTTTCTCTGGGACTGCTTGGTGCGTTGCTGCCTGGTCCTGCGGTCTCCAGCCCGCCATCCTGCTTGAAGGCCGGATACACCCGGCGGGTGCACCGAAGCACAACGGATTGGCTGCACGAAGTGGGTCTGAATAGTGCCCAGGTGTCCAAGGCCGTTGCAAGGTTTCCTCATTTGCTTGGGCTCAGCATCGAGGCGAACCTGAAACCCACAGTGAATTGGCTGCATGAAGTGGGTCTGAACAGTACCCAAGTGTCCAAGGCCGTTGCCACATTTCGTCAGTTGCTGGGGTACAGCATCGAGGCGAACCTCTCTCAGAAGCTCAGCATCCTCCAACGCTATTTCACGGACGCTTCCCTTCGTGACATGGTCACTGCTTTTCCTACAAATTGTTGGCATACAGGAAGTCCCGCCTGGTTCACCGTTTGGAGACTCTGCGAGCGTATGGCGACCTGTCGATGTTCATTTCGACTATTGCACTCACGAACACTCGGTTTGCACAGCGATTTGAGGGTTTTACGAGAATAGGGAGCCCGAATATAGACCCCCGAATACTAGGGCTCCCTTAAAATGAGGACCCCAATCAGGTACCCCAAAAATTTCGGAAGCCCCCCATTTGAGCTTTTGCAGCAATGCGCGTGTGCTTGAGCCACCAGGTGGCCTGAAGTGCTACTCTCACGATACTGCGCCAACAAGGGCAATGGCTTGATGAGACGCATGACATGTGCGTACGCTTCCTTGGTAATCTTACAGTCAAGAGCTAGCGTCGATGTTGCAGCGGTTTGTGGCAACATCCCTCAAACCCCTAAACCCTCATCCCTAAACGCCATGACAGCATAAGAGGCTTCCCTGACTGAACGCCAGGACCGCGCCGAAGACCGAGATTACGCCAGTAGAGGCGGAGGACGAGTTTCAAATCATGCCGGAATGCGAATTGGTTCTTGTACTTGGCTGGTGTTTTGGGGTATTGATAACATGGAGGGTTATGTCAGGACCCACTTCGTCAACCCTAAACCCTTAGACCCCGCAAGCCGAAAGTCAAGCCAAGTTTGTCTCATGCAGGTTTACTGCTCCAGAGAGGGGTAGACTGAAATTCAAATGGGGGTTACTAGGTTGGTTTTTGGGTAATTTGTTATTTTCCTTATTTGGGTTTATAAGGGACCCCTATATAAGTATTTTCCAGAGGGTTTAGGGGCCAACCCAGGATCAAGTTGGGTTTTCATTCTCGAACGCTGAATCCAATCCCAACCCAAAACCTAATCCCCAAACCCTCGGAAGGACTGGGACCCAGAGTCGGCGCCCTTATTCCCTTTTGTTAGGGTTTAGGGTTTAGGGTTTCGGGTTTAGGGTTTAGGGTTCCCTTCAAAGGGTACCCCGCATGTTCCTAGGGTACTCTTGGGTCTACGGCAGCATCGACAGCCATGTCAGGACGTTCTCGTTTTCGCCGACCAAGCAGGGCTGTGTCAGAAGCCGTGCCGACTGAATTCCAGTCCAGCTAAGTAGCTGAGGTTTAGGGTTTAGGGTTTAGGGTTTAGGGTTTAGGGTTTAGGGTTTAGGGTTTAGGGTTTAGGGTAAACCCTAAACCTTAAAACCCTAAACCCTAAACCCTAGTAGACAACCTTTAACCGTTTGGAGTATATACATTATGCAATCCTACCAGAATTGAAAAGTTTCTTTGGGCCAGGGTACTCAGCAACTAGGCTAGGCTTATTGGCCTGGGTCTAAATGAGGTCTAGGGTTCGGATTTATCGGTCTTGGGGTTTAGGGTTCAGGGCGAAGGGTTTAGGGTTTAGGGTTTAGCGTTTAGGGTTTAGGGTTTAGGGTTTAGGGTTTAGGCTTAGGTGGACAGGGAAGGTCCTGAGACAGAGAGGAGGGGTTCGGAGCGGTCTGGGGGAAGATATGCGCGGAGGCATCTTTGGCTGCTTCGTATATTACTCTTTCCCCGCAGGCCGTCCCAGGAACGCCCTGGGTAGGACGCCTTCTCTTTAGAAACAGCTCGAGCCATTCCCCCCGAACCCTCAACCCTAAACCCTATACGATGCATAGCAGTATGATCTTTAATTCTGGGATGGGTCGGGTCCCCACATAAGCCTCAAGCCAAAGAAATGGGCACGCTATCATTCTTCGATCATTGGGGAGCCTAGAACCCCAAACCCTCTCGTTTAGGGTTTGTAGGGTTTATAGAGTTTAGGGTTTGTAGGGTTTATAGGGACTGGGCTTATAGGGTTTAGAGGGTTTAGAGGTCTTATAGGTTTTATAGGAAGAGGGTTTAGGGTTTAGGGTTTAGGGTTCGGGCAAACAAGCAAACCCCGGCAAGCTGTGCCAGGCTCTTGGAGAAAGCGCCAGAGGGGCGAGCCGGGCTCTTGAAGTGTTCGGGTGTTAGGGTTTTGGGTTTAGGGTTTAGGGGTTTAGGGTTTAGGTTTTAGGGTTTAGGGTTTAGAACCCAGTCCAGAACCCTAAGCGACCCCAAGCCAGTCCTTGCCAACCTTGCGAAGCTTCTCTCGGCATGTCGTTGCCGAATTTCTTCGGGAAGGGCTTCACTTACCGTTGGTTAGCAGGGAATGAGGGAATTTGGGCCCTATACAATACCCTTTACGGGATTATGTAGGGTACCTCATTCCCCCATTCCATATTAACTAACAGCAAGCTCTGAGGGATATGCCCCCCCAAGCACGAACGTAGGCGCGAAAATTGCTTCAGCTATGCGCAAGACAGCCGCGTTACCAATCAAAGAACAAACTCCAAATCTTTCTCAAACTCTCAGGCCCCAAAACCCTAAAGCCCCAAACCGAGAAGTGGCTTCTAGAGCTTCACTGGTTGCAAGTCTCTGGATTTGGCATATTTGTAGTCCCGTTGAATTGGGTATTCGAATACCCCTAACACCCCTGTTGCCATTATTATGGGGTAGCCCTAAACCCTAAACCTTAAACCCTGAACCCTAAACCCTAAAGGGCTAGCTTGTGGGTTTTGGTCAATCTCACGAGGTGGGAACCAAGAAGGTTGTCACGAAGCCCCCGCGGCTGCTCACCCAGGACACCTTTCCGCTTTAAGCCCACGAGTTTTTCGACTAAGCCCTGAGCACTAGACATCCCTAGACCCTAAGCCCTAAACCCTGTACCTTCTTGGGAGGGGAGTAGTGGCCTTAGGGTATCTTACAAGGGACTTGGAGGGCCTAGGACGGCTTGCAGATTCTTACTTTCGAGGGTTGTTCAGGCGTTTTTGTATTTTTTTATTCGCTTCTTTTTGCGTGGGATTTTCAGGTGTACGCAGACCATGTGTCCCAAACCTGCAGCCCCAGCGGCCGAGTAGCCATGGCATAGGTTGGAGGTGCCGACTCCACCATGCTGCGCCAGGAGGACTGCGATGCGCTGCTATCAAAGAACAAGTACGCCGCGCACCCGGTGGCCAAATGGGGGGGGTTTCCGAAAATAGGGTACCCCTTTCTATACCCCAAATAGACTGGAATCCCCCAAAAAGGTACCCTTATTTTCCGAATTTATACCCGAAATAGAACAGAATCCCCCCAAAAAAGTCTACCCTTAATTTTCGGAAACATCAAATCTGAAACGACTGCAAAGGCCTGCACTCGGTTCCGTCCACGTCTTCTGGTGCTCCGGTGTGTACTTGCTTTGTGTTTGAGCGGTTCCCAGGTAGCCAGCAACCTCACAGGCCTATTTTCGGGGTCAGAATCATAACTGATGGTATTCCCTCATGGTCCCTTTATTTCGTATACTGTAATAACCCCCCAAAACCCCGCCCCAGTTGTTAAGGCCCCTATAATATTATGTCTGCAGACTTGCGGTCATCAGCTTATGGCGGTTTATGCAACGGCGTCCCCAAGAAATTCGTGTTATGTCTCACCTTGCCTCAAAACAGTTGAGAAGTCACCCGAAAATCAAACGCCTAGTTACTGTACCCTAGCCCGAAGCCTCCAACACAAAAGCGCCCAAACCCCAAAGCCCAAAGCCCAAACCCCAAACCCCAAACCCCAAACCCCAAACCCCAAACCCTAAACCCTAAACCGACTTGCCCGATGCCAAGGACCTGCTAGTGGTTGGATGCCCATTGGACCCTCCGAAGGGTATGCGCCTCAGGAACAGGGTTTAGGGGTTTAGGAGTTTAGGGTTTAGGGTTTAGGGTTTAGGGTTTAGGGTAGCGTTTAGGGTTGAATTCGGGTGTAGGGAATACGGCTTTGGGTTCATGAGGCTTAGGGATCAGTTTTTGTTGGCGTGTCCCATAGGGGTCCCAATGCATCTACGTAGCATTTGGGCCTGACAGGGCCTCTTGCGTGGCATATACTGTATCGGTACATGGACCCTTAGCAATGAAGGAGTCTAAAGATGTATTTGTAGGGGTTGCAGTCTAGGACCGGGAGTAGACCCTTTTTTCCTTTTTTCGGGTTAGGGTTCCCTCATAATCCCCTTGTAACCAAACAGGGTACCCTTTCTATTCCTAGGTTACTCCCGGGTCTAGTAGCCCTAAACCCTAAACCCTAAACCCAGTGCTCCGTGCTCCGCTGCGGTTGGTGTGACTCTTGGCCTGGACTTTTCGTTTGGCTGCTGGCGTTTTTCTGCTGGCCCAGCTGAGCTCGTGGCCAGGCTGCTTTCCCCGCTCTGCTTGAGTCAGGGTTTTAGGGTTTAGGGTTTAGGGCTTAATTCTGGGTGACTGAAGGCTGAATAAAGGTTTTAGGGTTTAGGGTTGCCCTCATTCCCTGATTCCCTACTAAGAGCCAGCCAGACGAGGCAACACCACCGCTGACATCATCGTGCATCAGTCGGCGATGGATAAGTTTCTCTTCCTCCTGCTGCAGTCGATGATGAAGAATGTCGCGCCCGGCATGGTTGTCATGGGGTTTATCGGCTGTACACCCTAACCCTAAACCCTAAACCCCGCACAGTGTAACTCAGGGATGGAGGAGTTCCCTACCAGATTCAAGGTGTCGTCGACTAAACCCTAAACCCTAAACCCTAAACCCTAAACCCTTGGCCCTAGTTTTGGGGCTCCAGGACTTCCGATACAGCGAGTTCTGGCAACAGAGTTGTGAATATGTGTGGCTTCTAAGGTCTCGAGCACTTCATGGGCTTTCCTTGCGTCCTTCAGGGTTCAGGGTTCAGGGTGCAGGGTTTAGTGTTTAGGGTTTAGGGTTTAGGGTTTAGAGTTCAGGGTTTATGGTTTAGGGTTTGGGGTTCGACCCATTGTAGAAGATGTCCTTGCAAAAGTTGCTTGCATGACAGGAGGGCTGCGTCCAGCGAATGGCCGTTCTCACCCACGCAGCTCAGCAACAACCTAAAAGCCGAAACCCGAAACCACATCAAAGTGGTGTCACATAAGTTGCCTCAGCCGGATTCGGATCGAAGACGTTCAGTTCAGTATTGTGTTTACTTTGCTGTATCTGCACTGTCAGACCAGGTGCAATGATAAGTTCAACAGTAATACGATTGGCGCGACCATGGATTTGGTGGCATTCCCCCTGAAGGTGCCTTAGGGTTTAGGGCTTACGGTACATAATATTCAGCGGCGCAGCCCATGCTCAGTGGCAACACGAACCACGCCCAACAAGTGACATGACTTTCCTGAGTCGGTGAGTTTTGATCAATATGGAAGCGCTCAGATGAACTGTAGGGTTCTTCCGGGGTCGGGCGAGGGTGGCTCAGGGGTAACTAGGGAACCCAGGCGAGTTTGAGGAAAGTTGAGGGGGTGGGGAACCCTAAACCCTAAACCCGTAACCCTAAGCAATAGCAGAGCCGGAGCCAAGGATACATTTACGCTGGAGCCAGCTGCGCACAAGCAGCGAGGTCAGGAGCCAAGGTAGCGTGATCGGACGTGCCTCGATCAGCATCACTGATCCTCGAAGTTCAGGGTACATGCTAGTGCCTTGCTGGTCAGAAGAAGCTACCCTCCAGAACAGCATACTTAAATATACATGTATACATAGACATGACAATTATGTCGTGTGCTTCTATACATACAGAGTGTGTTTCTATACATGCATACATACATACCTACATACCTACATACCTACATACCTACATACCTACACACCTACATACCTACATACATACATACATAAATCTTTACACAGAAAAAGTCTATACACATATGTATATATACATATATGCGGTGTGCAGATACATATTGTGAAGCCTCACAGCCTACAGAAGTCCCTGACGTCTTATCTCATCTCAAAGCTCTCCATTCTCAGGCTTGAGCGTGGTATCTGGGGCCTGTGCCTCAGTGAGGATGGGGTAAAGGCCGTAGCCTGAGCGAGTCCTTCAACCAGAACCCTATAAACCCTGGCAAGGCAAAAGGGCCGCCTCGGATAGAGTACCAAAAGCCCTCAACCCTGAAGCTTAAAGTCCTAAACACACAAACCTTACCTTTGGAATCTTGGGACAAGAGAGAGGTCAAGGAGCCGAACTACAATAGCAGCGCTGGAAACCAAAAGACCCAGGCAGAAGCTGCCCAAACCCCCGACAGAACGACCAAAACTTCAAGACACCTCCCCCTAAACCCTAAACCCTAAACCCTAAACCCTAAACCCTAAACCCTAAACCCTAAACCCTAAACCCTAAACCCTAAACCAAAAAAAACCTAAACCCTAACCCTTAGCAATCTCCTGCGCGCCGCCGAGTGCACTATATTCGGCATGATGAACACCGCGCGGCAGGAGCTGGGCATAGCGATCCAGGCGATTCTTTAGGGGTTTCCTAGGGTTTAGGGTTTAGGGTTTAGGGTTTAGGGTTTAGGGTTTAGGGTTTAGGGTTTAGGGTTACAATTCAGCATCTCAGGGTGATTTTGTTCTTTTGTTGGTACAGAGTTGCTCTAGGCTGAGTTCAGGGCTGGATTCCGTCGCATGCCGAGTTTCGCAACTCTAACTCAAGGACCCTAAACCCAAAACCCTAGCACAAAGTCCTCTCAACTGGGGGCCCGCAATTCCTCGAGATAAACATAGCAACATGGCGTCCTTGGTGGATCATTCTTACAAGGAATCGAATACTCGACCTCTCAGACGTTCCCTGAAAACCTCAACCCTCTTGTGCAAAATTTAGGTTGTTGTATCTATCAAGGGGAACCATCATTTTGTACAAGAGCCTTCTTTGTCTTCGCACAGGTCATCGATATTGCCGGCGTCCCAGGGGGGGGGCTTTGGCGGGGGGTCAGGGTTTCAGGGTTTCAGGTTTTACTTGTTGTTTCTTTTGTTCCTTGCCGGTTTAGGTGTTTGACTTTGCCGATGGCTCGAGCAACCAGTCCCTAACCTACCCTAAAACCCTAAAGCCCTTGGCTCATGAACTGACATTAAGTGATTATAATCCAGGGCACTATTCTACCATTTCTGATAAACCACTGTTATGGTAACTTAGATTCAGTTCCTTAGCACGAAGACATACACAAACACCATTCTCAAGAACGGCACAATGACCCAGTTAAGTTTGTGGGTTTGAGGCTCTCGGGCTGTCTAGCGATTTGAGGGTTTAGGGTTTAGGGTTTAGGGTTTAGGGTTTAGGGTTTAGTGTGGTTCCAGCCCTGGGCGGTCTAGGATGTAGAGTCTAGAGCTTTGTTTTTGTTTGTTTTCTTTTTTCGGGGGCTTTGGGGGCATGAGGGTGTCGACATGTGGCTGCCTTTCGCCTCACTGTTCAGATTCCAAGAGGCCTGATCCTAGTAGGCATCAAGGAATAGCAAGACTTAACACCAGGTCTCAAACCCAAACCATAAACCATACACCCCAAACCGTTTCCGTCCCTACTAACCGACATGAAGATTACACTAACAGTCCTTAATAGGATTGTACTAGGGTGTTACGACAATCCCTATTAAGGACTGATCATTAAAAAGGGGGGAACATCCCAAATCATACACCCCAAATCTCTAAACCCTAAACCCTAAAGACTGAGGAGTATCTCGACCGGCCGGACATGCTCCCGCCGGTAGCATCAGAGATCTTCAGGCCCGCTCCCCTAAACCCTAAACCCTCAACCCTCAACCCTAAACCCTAAACCTCCAGCAGAGCCCTCCAATCCAACCGCCAAACGGTCTTGGAATCTTGCTCTCTTTTAAAGTGCGGACACGACGGTCTTGAGGTATCCTTGCTCTGTATAACACCTTATAGACTCCTAAACACTAAACCCCCGAAAACCCCCCCTACACCCAAAGCGCCCTCAAACCCTAAGCCCCCTAAAACCCTCAACCCCCCGAAAACCCCAAACCCCCCCAAACCCTAAAGCCCCTCAAGCCCTAAACCCCCTACACCCTAAAACCCGATCCCTAACCCTAAACCCTAAACCCTAAACCCCAAACCCCATGGTGCCAGGCTAGGCACGTTTGGAGTCGAGGTCTCAGTGACCTGGGGTGGCTTCTGGGGACTCAGGGTTCAGGGGTTTGCTGGAATGCCGCTCAGTAGGAGGGTTTAGGGTTTGGGGTTTAGGGTTTATATAGGGTGTAGGGTTTACCCTAAACCCTAAACCCTAAGGCCTGGGTTTGAAGAGCACCTTTCTCTAGAGAAACATTTTAAGGGATGCAGAGTTGTAGATTTCCTCATAAGCCCCGCCTGTGAGAACAAAAGCACCCTATTCCTATTAGGGCTGATAAGGGCTTAGGGTTTTGTGTGTTTTGGGGCTTAGGGTATACCGGGCGTAAGGCTGAGCATTTATGCACGTAGCTGTCGTGGGCCCACCAATCAGCAGCTACGACCCGGAAGCTTGGCGAGACCTGCATTTAACAGAACACCCAGTATATGCATTTAAAGGAACCCCCAGTATATACATTGTATATGATATATGTATACATATATATATATATATATGTGTGTGTATGTCTTTGAGTATAGTATATCAATACAGAAAAAAATAAGTACACAAATAAATAGATAAATGGATAATATGTGTATGAGTATGTAATAAATATTCATATGCATATAGCATATAATATCAACACCTCCAAAGCACCGATCTCTTCTGGGATAAAACCCTCAGCCCCAGCTCAAACATGCCTTTAACCCTATACAGTGACGGAATTCCACATCCTTATGAGATGCCAAAGTTCTGTTTGATTAGGGTTTAGAGTTTAGGGTTTAGGGTTTAGGGATCCCATACCCCAAGCCATAAACCTCAAATGCCCTGAGGTCAACACTGTGCGCCAATGCTGGCCTTACCCCCTGTACCGGGGTATCCGACACGACCAGCCACACGGGCCCAAGGGCCCAGAAGACAGGGTTTAGGGTTTCGGGTTCAGGGTACAGGGTTTAGGGCCCAGGGGGCCAGAAGACAGGGTTCAGGGTTTCGGGTCCATTCCTGAAGTAGACTTATACTTGTGCTTAAGGTGTGCGTGTTATGTTTCAGACGACTGCCGCCAAGTTGATCGATTTCTGTTTAATGAAATGATCTGTTTTCCTTGGCAGAGGGGGCGGGGGGGGGGGGGGGGGGGGTAAAAACCTGAAGTTCTGGAAAGCATCTGGAAGTCTACGACAATGAGGGACCACTCCAAATTTGGAGCCCCCCATGGGATCCCAATCTCAACCCCAAATAAGGTAACCCTAGTTTCGGAAAACCGCATCTAGAGCAAAACCCTAAAACCTGTACCCTCCTGCCCTAAACCCTAAACTGCCCTAAACCCTAAACCCTAAACCCTAAACCCTAGTACAGATGTGGGACATCACCTGCCAGAGCCCCTTTTCAATTCCTATATTATCTTCAAGAATTTCGGTCCCTTTGAGAGCCCTTCGTTATCTTGCGGGAACGAGGCATCCCACTTTCTACCCATGCAAAGCCCCCTGAGAACCAAAGATCTGCTGAAGAACCCCCCCAAACAAAAACAAAGCAACTTCAAAACGTTCCTCCTCATAAGAGCAACATGGGGATGCTTGCCTTTTCTTCTTTTTTTTTTTGGGGGGGGGGGTTCTTAAAAACCCCCCCCCCCCAAAATAAAAGAAATGCAAAAGAAAACTAAACCCTAAACCCTAAAAAGAAAGAAAGAAAGACCTTGAGAAGCTGCAGGCGCTTCGTTTACCGGCAGTTCCTGTCCCATGAGTACGAGAAGAAGGCCGCGAAGCCATGGGCATCGACCCCAGTTCTGGAGGGTTTAGGGTTTAGGGTTCTGGGTTCTGGGTTCTGGGTTCTGGGTTTAGGGCTAGCTCCATATACCCTTCACAATGGGGCTCGTGCGGTTCATTGTTGGCCTTGGCTTGCTCTAGATAGGGATTTCAAGGCGGGGTTTTAGGGCTTGATGGTCGTGAGTGCCAGCGGCAGTTGGGAGGTTCAATCGTGTTTCGTTTGGTTGCCTCTTTTCTTACGCTTTAGGGGTTTTGGGCCGTTTAGGGCATGTTGCTGTAATCCGCTGAATGTTTGCAAGCAACTTATCTTGGACCATTCCGCTCGGCGTCCCTGCCATGCTTCAAGCAGGACGTACATAGAGCAACACAGTACTTTGCAAAAGCATGCGAAGAAGTGCGCTATGTAGGACAATCTTCAAGTAGGGTTTTGCTCCATACGCATGGTGCCACTTCAGATAATTCGAGAGTCGACGCAAACGGAAGTTAGCGGCCGAGTCTTCAGGCCTGACGAATTCATCGCTCATCCTATCTGAACTCTAAGTCTCAACCTTATCATTCACGTACACTTTCCCTCTGGAAGTCTACACGTAGACCTTAAACCCTGAACCCAAACCTTAACCCCCCAAACCACAAGCCCCATGCCACTCACGCTGTAGCCCGAAGATGCCCGAAGTTGATATACCCACAAATCACTATAACACCCTTCTTCACACATGATAAGCCCCAACCCTATTTTGGCTTATTCTAGGGCCCCTATTAAACCTTTCTAAAGCATTTGTAAGCGAATTCAAACCCTTCTAAAGACCTTACAGAAGCCCTGATAGACGCCGTTTTCACAAAATGCCCGTTTAAAGCCCTTTGCAGGGTTTATTAGTTCGAACATAATTTGTACAAAATTGCCCTTAATCCCTGCATAATCCTTACAAAGCCATAAAATTGCTCTGTGTATAGGATCCCCAAACCTACCCTCTAGAAGCCTTGTAAGACCAGTGAGTCCTCAGGATATGCCCAGCGAGGGCATCATCGCCATCTCGGGCGGCAACGGCGCTTTAGGTCTGGCCCGGGGCGCCCAGACAAGGGGCCGTTGGGGTTTAGGGTTTAGGGTTTAGGGTTTAGGGTTTAGGGTTTAGGGTTTAGGGTTTGAGGGCTTTCAGGGTTTTCGGGGCGTTTAGTGCCCTAGGATGCCCAGAAGGGCGAGTCCCTACTTACTTCCATGTCCTTACTTTCACCCCCATTGAGCAGAAGATAGGGAGGGTACCCAGTTCTTCATTCTAAAGAGCTTGGGGAACCCAGTTGGGGTTTTGGGTTTGGTGTTTAGGGTTTAGGGCGTTTGAGAGCCACCCCAATCCGGAATGTTGGCCGCCGGGTCTGCGGAGCTTACTGCGAGTGAGGAGTTCCAAAAGCTTCCGCATGTCTTGGGCCCCGAAGCCTCCAAGCCCCAAACCACGAAAACCCTAGACCCTAAATCCTGAACCCCCTGAACCCTAAACCCCGAAATCCTAAACCCCCAAAACCCTAAACACCCTTAACCTTCGTCTCCCAACCCTAAACCCTAAACCCTAAACGAGCTCCCAGCCCAGAGGCTGATTCTCGACTCTACCCGTTTCTTGAAGGGTGCTCACTTTTCGGGGAAATGGCTCCGGTTTTCTTCTGTAAGGGTTCGACTCTAAGCAATTCTTAAGTTACTCACTTTTCGGGGGAATGGCTCCGGTTTTTTTTGTAAGGGTTCGACTCTAGCCGATATGTTTTTTGAAGGGCCCTTGGTATGTAGATGTAAACTCTATAAGTAAACCCCTATATAAGCTTATTATTGCAGAGTTCTGTTGTGAACGTTTTGGTACAAGGACTCGACCATCTCGACTCCCTTTGGCAGGATTCGAGCGGAAATCACGCCGGCTCGGCCTGTGCACCCTAAACCCTAAACCCCAAACCCCAAACCCTAAACCGGCGCGGCTTGCAACAGCGACGAGGACTCGCCGGAGTCGCTGGTGATCGACCCGAACACTTTGCAGACGTTGAGGAGCTCGATGAATCGCAGGAGAACGGTGACAGGGTGAGTGCCCGGCTGAGGAAATCGCGTTTGGCGGAGACGAATCCAAACAAGAAGAACTGGAAGCCCTGCCCTGGATGAGTGCCTAGACCCTGAACGCTCAACCCTAGACAGGGATTAGGGTTTATAGGGTTTGACCTAAACCCTGAACCCTAAACCCTAAACCCCCCCCCCGGGCCTCCAATGCACCAAACCCCACGCTTCAGGGACTTCGGGGATGAGAGGTAGTTTAGGGAGTTCGGGGTCAGGGGCTTGATTGGGGGGAGGCTTAGTAGGGTCTGAGAGGGAGAGGGGGGGGGGTGTGTTGAGGGTTGAGGGTTTTGGGGGTTTGTTTGGGTTTAGGGTTTAGGGCCTTGTGGGTTGAATGAAGGTTCCCTAAACCCTAAACCCTAAACCCTAAACCCTAAACCCTAAACCCTAAACCCTAAACCCTAGGTTTTCGGGTTTTGGGTTTAGGATGAGCATCTGCTGAGGTTATGGGTGCGTGGCTGCTGGACAGGGCGAAGAAGCAGATGGACGCCAGCGGCGCACTGCTTGCAGATGATCGGGGCTTTCCCTCGGTTTAGGGTTTAGGGGTTATTAGGGGCTAATTGCCTGATTGTTCGACCTGTGGGGTTTCCGTACCATGTAGCAATGTAGGAATGATATGGATTGACCGATATTGTTCCCTGGAGGTAGTATGGTATAGCTCATTAAAAGGTGTTGGGCTGGGGTGTTGCATGACAGGGTTTGAGGCTCTCAGGCACGAGGGCTGTAATTGACTTCCCGCATATCATTTCTCCCTTTCCCCTGCACCTTCAGAAAAAACTGCAAAGCTCCACTGGGTTCCAAGCCTGACGGTTGACGCCTAAACCCGAAGCCCTAAGCCCTAAACCCAAAGCCCTAAACCCTAAACCCTAGACCTTTCACTCAGGTGGCAAGTACAAGCCGGCATTCAGCATCCAGCCTCGACCTTGATTTCATCGCATTTCTGAGCTAGACTTGTTGTTTTTTTTTTTCCGGGGGCAAAGGGTGTGGGGTGCAGGGTTTAGGAGTTTAAGATTTAAGGCCCAGTGGGATCGTTAGAAAGGGCATTTTGGGATCATTTGGGCGTAGGGTTTAGGGATCTAAGATTTAGGGCGCAGTGGGGTCGTTTCCAAAGGGCAGATCTATGCGGATAGGGACATTCTCATCTCTGGCTTCTGTCGCGGGGGACATGGGAAGCGACGCCCCAGGTTCATGTCCCGATCGGCCAAGATCAGCGACCTCAATGTGCCGCTGTGGAACAAGGCGGATGGGACTGGAGGTTGAAGGGACAAGGATCCATGCCCTGTTAAGGCCCCAAGTGCATACTATGTCGGCACATGGACCTCAAGAGGGTCTGGGGGTCTGTCGCTCTTGGACACTAGTTCTCAAAAATCACAGGCAAGATTGTTTTATCAATAGCTGGATTGTGCACCTTGCCAGGTTTCCTTGGCTGACAGTTAAACCCGTAAAACCTTTCACTCTAAAACCCTTAAACCCTTTCGCCCGACACCCTTGGACCCTTAACCCCTGGAACCCTGACACCCCTAGTTCCTAAACCGCTTAAACCCTTACACCCCTAAACCCTTATCCCCTCAAGGCCTCTGGGATTTAGGGTGCGGGGCATAGGGCTCGTAGTTAGAGCTCCTCAAGTCTAGAAACTCTAGAACCCCAGAAACCCTGAAAAACTAGACTCCCTAGATTCCCTAGAGACCCTAAAGCCCAAACAGCAAAAGGCCCTCCCCAGACCCCGAAAGCCCGAAAGCCCTAAACCCTAAGCCCTAAACCCTAAACTCTAAACCCTAAGCCCTAAGCCCTAAGCCCTAAACCCTAAACCCTAAACCCTAAACCCTAAACCCTAAACCCTAAACCCTAAACCCTAAACCCTAACTCGCAGCTAAAGAGGTCCAGTCCAAGGCCGATGCCCTTGGCATCTCGGTGATGCAGGGCAAGATGGACATGGGCCACTGCCTGAGGCTTCAGGGTCAGCTCAGTTTTGGGGTTTAGGGTTTAGGCTTTAGGGTTTAGGGTTTTGGGTTTAGGGTTTAGGGGCTTTTGGGGGTTTTGGGGGGTTTTGGGGGGTTTTGGGGGGTTTTGGGGTTGTGGGGTTTTGGGGTTTGGTAAGAGGGGGGCAAAGGGGGGCTTTGGAGAAGACCCTTTTAAAGGGGCTTTAAAGGGGGGCTTAAAGGGGGCTTAAGGGGGGCTTTTGGGGTTTGGGGTTTCGGGTTTAGGTGTTAAGCCTCGTCTTTGAAGCTTTCGGGTTTAAGGTAGCCCATCATGGTTCTTCCTCAGACCCTAAACCACCGGGTCTGGCACCCTGAAAGGCCGACACAGAAAGGTCGACAGAAAGACAGAAATAAAGAAGGCAAGAAAGTAAGAAAGCAGAAAGAGACTCAGATAGACAGGGGAGGCAGGAAGGAAGACGAATAGAGACACAGAGAAAGAAAGAGAGAGAGAGAGGGAGTCGTAATCACCTGTAAGTCGTTAACCCCAAACCCTAAACCCTAAACCGCAAGAATGCAGGATTACAGTAAGCCCGCAAGCTTACCTGTGCGCGGCCATAATATGAGCTGGTTGGCAGAGTTCCAGAAGGAGACCGCAATACGCAAGAAAGAACGCCGCTGCTTTGCCAACCGCCTCGGGCCGGAAGGAATCTGCAATTTCCGGGGGGTCTAGGGTCTAGGGTCTAGGGTTTAGGGTCTAGGGTCTAGGGTTTAGGGTGTCTAAAGAAGCTCTGCGAATTGGATTGGGCCATTTCCGAGGGCTACTATTTGCCTACCCCCCAAAGAAGGGCAATGGAGGGATTATTCTCTTTCATTCTGTTGGGGTTCCTAGGAAAATGGGGGTTGCCGAAATTGGGGGTACCTGTTTGTGTCCTTATTATAAGGGAATCCTACTATTTGGGGTCTATTTTCGGGGTCCCCTATCTTTCGAAAAAAATGGTAGGGGGGTGGAGAGCAGCTGAGGCTCGCAGGAAGCAGTGGACAAGTTCGTGCAGGAGGCCGGGTCGTAGCTGAAACCTGCGAAGGCACTCCTATTAGTCCGCGAATGGGGTTTGGGGTTTTTGGGCTTAGGGTTCAGGGTTTAGGGTTTAGGGTTTTAGGGTTCAGAAACTCTTAACCAGCTTGTTCCCAAGTAGCCAGGCCCTACCGCAACAGCCCAGTATCGAGTTGCACCGGTGTTTATCAACATGTTGCACGCAGCCTGCATGGGTCATTTGTCGTTCTGTTGATTGGCGCGTCCTCCTTGGGCCTAAGCCCAAATCCCTGACTCCTCTGAAGCCCCAAAATTCCCTAAACCCTTAACCCTTAACCCTAAACCCTAGACCCTAAACGCCCCGATTGTCCCTCAAACCCTAAAATTCCTCAAAGCCCCAATTCCCCTGAACACTAAGAGTCCCGAAGCCCCACGGTTGGCATTTACCAACAAAACCTACTTTAGGGTTTAGGGTTTAGGGATTAGGGTTTAGGGTTTAGGGTTTAGGGTTCAGGGTTTAGGGTTTAGGGTTTAGGGTAATGAGGTACTCTATAGAATCCCTTACAGGGTATATATAGGGGGATATAGGGTACCTCGTTCTCTCATTCCCTACGAACCAACTGTAAGTTTAGCAACAAAACCTAAATGCCCTAGAATCCACTTATCCACCATGGGCTTGGAGAGTTTAGGGTGCAGGGTTTCGGGTTTAGAGCTTAGGGTTTAGGGTTAAACCCTAAAACCCTAAACCCTAATTAAACCCCAAACCCTAAACCCTAAACCTTTTCTAGGGCTGGAATTGCCCTGCCATCGCCTGCCAGGTCTCCCCAAACTTGACCGGCTTCATCCACTCCGCGGGTGTCCTGCAGGTGAACCTGGGGGGGGAACGCTGAGCCCTAGGGTTTAGGGTTTAGGGGTATAGGGGTTTAGGGGTTTAGGGGTTTAGGGGTTTAGGGGTTTAGGGTTTAGGGCGGTAGAAGTGAGACCTTGGATCGTACCCTGAGATAGAAGAGAGCAAAACGCTAGAATGGAGACCCCAAAAGGGCCCAAACGGGGTTTAAGGTTTGGGGTTTATACACCCCCAAAGAACTCCCACAAGACCTCAATGTCCCGACTAGTTGTCGCCCTTTTTGCTTTGCGTCTTCGCGGTTTGTTGGGCCCCTGACCAACTACTCTAAACCCTACACAAGCGCACACAGAACAAGAAAACACCAAAAAAACAAGCAAGTCGAAAGCACGTGATTTCATGATGGAGCGCAGCAGCAAAAACACACACAGGACTCGATGCTTCCCAACCAGACCTGGGAGAAGTTTGAGGCGGGGTGCGCCGCTTCCGGATGAGTGAGTTGGGATTGGGGTTGGGTACTGTTGATGCTGGTTGGCGGTTGGAGCCCTCATTGCAGGTCTGACGCCAGGGCTGAGTTGCAACGAGAACCCTTAGACCCACTGTCTAAACAGTAACGTTAGACCCTCATATCCCTGCTCCCTGAAACGTTTAACTTGGCCAGCCTCCAAGCACGGATTTGAAGTCCAAATCGCACAATGCTCCCTAAACCCGAAACCCTAAACCCTAAACCCTAAAATGGGGGGGGGGGGGGGCTTAGCTCGTACCCGTATTTCATGAAGTGGAAGATGCCCCGTTGGTTTGGTTTACAAGAGGAATCTTCCAAAATAAGCCTTTCTTGCTGGTATTTCAGGGTACTCTACTTGAAGGTTCATGGTACTTATGAACCAATTATACCTGTACTAAAAACCCAAAATTATAAGCATTTAAGGGGCTCATAAGTGGGTTCTAATTACAGTTATAGTTGGTCAATAGGTTCCCTGAACCTCCAAGTAGTATCCCTAAACCCTAAACCCTAAACCCTAGTATCAGAGAGTTTCCAGTGACAAGCAGCCCATCGGAGGGTTGTGGAGTATCGGGTTGAGTGTGCAGAGTGTCGAGCTTATATGGTTTCAGGCACAGGCAGGGAGTTTCCCCAAATCCTGAACCGTACTCCCTGAAACCTTAGGTCTTGTCTCTTCGCTCAAGATTACAAGGACTCACGCTCTTGCCAGCCCTAAACCCTGAACCCTAAACCCGAAACCCGAAACCCGAAACCCTA